CACTCTGATGTGTGTCAGGATATGGATGGGAAATAATGATAATAATAATAATAATAATAAAATTATTATTATTATTATTATTCAAAAGTGAAACAAAACGTTTTCAAAACAAGATGATTTAAATAACTGAATGCTTCCTCCCACTTCTTTGATGAGCATCCTCCATATGGAGCACCGTGCAATGATGGGAATTTTCCTRTACAGCCCTGCACCAAACACTTTTTATATAGAAGGGAATTACCACACAGCCATATTTTATTCTTATTTTCACACATGTCAGGGGGACAAATTTGATGCAGCTTAATTACAGTGAAATATTGGCGTTTAAATCAGACTGAATGAATTGCTCTCTTACACGCAGACACATAAAAAGGGAAAAGACTGGACAAAAAAAATATTCCTTGGGTTCCCTCTTTTATTTCTGCTSTGAATTGTTTCACTAATGAAAGCAGCAGAGAATGGAGGCACAACAGAGACCCTTAATGACATTTGCTAAGCTGTAGCACAGCTGCACATGCGTGCTGTGCTTCTTAATCAGACACTTTATGGCATAAAATTACAGAATCTTTTACATTTTTTAACAAACGCCAAGTGATAAAGCAGCAGATAGCTCTGTTTTTTTGCCTTTTCATCACAATTGATTTGAAATGCGTTGTTTTTGTCGACATATGTTCAATCAGATATATTTTCCAGTCAGGTTGATATTAATAATAAGAGCAAGTCTTTATGGAACATTTGCCCCATAAACCTTTGGTCTGACTCCACGTTGCTGCACAGTTTTCAGTTTTAGAGGCTCTGTTAGCTTCCTGCTTCCACGGGCCTCCAGCCACTCTGGTAACTCCTCGCCTTCTCTGTGTCTGCCCGTTTTTAGGTGAAAAACCTTTTAAATGTGAGTTCGAGGGCTGCAACCGGAGGTTCGCGAACAGCAGCGACAGGAAGAAGCACTCCCACGTGCACTCCAGTGATAAACCCTACATGTGCAAGGTCAGAGGCTGCGACAAGTGCTACACCCACCCGAGCTCCCTGCGGAAGCACATGAAGCTGCACTGCGCCACCAACAAGGCCCACGTCTCCAAAGACGACGGCGGCGGTGGCGGCGGCGGCGACGCGCGGCTCGGTGAAGAGGACCAGGCCGCGGAGGGCAGGTCGACCCAGATCAGCCCCCCGCACCCTCCCACCTCAACTCAGGACGTCCCCCTGTCCCCCGAGAGTCGGGACGACTCGACCCCGAGGTCACGCTTCCATCACGCGTTTGACAGCAGCTTGGACTACCCCGTGCACAGGGCGCAGCCCCTCCTGGACCCCTTGTTGCTGCAGAGGGGCGGCTACAGGTCCCAGTCCTCCCAGTATCCCTGCAGCCAGACGGGGCACGCGTTCCCCCAGACCTCTCGGACTTTCTCCTCCGCCTCGTCCTTTCAGAAAAGCATCGTGAACGGATGGTACACGTGCCACAGCGGCGTGGACTCGTTCCCACCAAAGCAGTGCAGCAACATCCCCTCTCTTTGAGACTCTGGTGGGACACATTCAGCTGCAGACCCCTTATGTGTCCCCCCCCCTGCTGTAGCTTCAGACTGGCAGCTGTTTCTCTCTACTTTTTGTGAATGTTGTATCAGGTAGTTTGTGAGARGTCCTCAGTCACCCTGCGTTGCCAAACGTGTCCAAGCTTTTCTTTTCCTTGTTGTTGTGAGGCCTTTAAATCTTCGGACAGGAACAAAGTTCATCGCTTATTTGTTGTTTAAGATAGCCTGTCGATTTGATAAAGATTCTTAAAATACAAGTTTCTTAATTTAAGTGGAAATCCATATCTGTGTATTGAGTTTTATGACATTTCTATTCTTCTGAAAGGGTTAAAAAGGAAAAAAAAAAAAAAAAAATAAAGCCTTGCTGAATGTAGCCCTCACTGTAGGGGTCTTTGTTGAATGTAAACTAGGTGTAATGTATGTCGGGATGAATAGAAAATATATTCATGATTTATGTATGTCGCAAGATGAATAATTATCTGGAAGATCTTTTTTTTTCAGTTAAATTTCAAGATCTAACAAGCCCCACGTGGTGGGCCTGGAGCATGGTTTGTCTGTAATTAAAATACCACCAGGCTCATCATTATTATTATTTTAAATATTATTATTATTTTTCTTCCCTTGACTAAGTTGAAATATTTCGCCTCCTTCATTAAACATTCCTTGTACAATATGTATGTTCACATTTCTGTGCAAAGTGAGTAAAACCACAGTGTTCATGTTAATGGTATAATTAGACTCCAGTTCCACTGTACATAAGCCTACTGTATAATTAATTATGTACCTTATATTTTATTAAAGTGTCTATATTCTCTTTGATCAGACGTGCGTGAGATCAACTCATTTTACACTCAAACTTTCTTCTTCTGAAATATATATATTTTATATATAATAATCTATGTCTTGTTTCCAGATTTGCAGTTTTTGTGTAGCCTTGCATGAACTCTGGAAACATCAAGCTTTCCTGCAGAGAAAATTGACTTAAATTTATGAGTTAAATGCTTTTTCAACTAAAAACTGCTCCAGTAACCAAACCAATCTTCTTCCAAAATATATTTATTTTCTTTTACGTTAATGTGCATTAAATTAACAAAAACTGACCCTTTTAAACCAGTTGGGCTAATTTTACACTATATATATA